TCTGGAGCCCGCGGTGAGGTTGAAGGACTGACTGTTCCTCCTTTCCCCTTCTCCTGCCCCGCCAGTGCCTTCTTCCTTCCCCGTCCTCGGAAGCAGGTAATCAGTAAATGAGATTTATTTATTTATATATTTATTTTGCCTCCACAGTTCATGGACTGCTTCATGATCGGCCGGGACCTCGTGCGGCTGCTGCAGAACGTCGCGAGGATCCCCGAGTTCGAGCAGCTCTGGAAGGACATCATCCACAACCCGCAGGTCCTCAGCGCCCAGTTCACAGGTAGGTGGGAGCGAGGCCGAAGGCCACAGGGATGCGGGTTCCTTCCACGCACTCGCTTCGAGGAGAGAGGGCAGAGAAAGCTCTAATCACACCTTGGGATCCCACCAGCGTCAAGGCCCACGTGGCATCTGGGCTTGAAAACCACCCTGAGAAACAGATACCTGCAGCTGGGCCACGAGGAGGGTCGTTAATTGTGTCACTCGTTCTGGACTTAGCTCCTCCCTAATTGTAGTTGGTGCCTTTTTTTTTCTCGTTAACTGATTTCTAAGCTGAGATGAAGCTGGGGCCCAAAGGTATTGGGGTGTCTGAGTCCTTCAGACCGTCCAGAAAAGAGCCTGATGAAGCTCCGTCTCTCTAGAGAGAGAAGTCCAGCAGCAACTGACACTTTCAGACTGGGATTTTGTTTCTCCCGGGAGCCTCACGTGCTCACCCGTGGAGCTCTCTGCGCAGCCTGGCCTTAAAACAGACCTGATGGAGAGAGCGTTGTGTTTGTAATTGGTCCTGGGATAAATTATTCACTTCTCTAGGGGCCGTCACATCGTGAGCTGCCGCAGCAATTCCAGTGACCCTGCGAAATCCGGGCTTTTACGCGTCCTCCCCCCGCCCCCAGCGCCTGCTCCCGTCTCAGGGGCCATGTTAATGTCATTTTAAAGATCTCACGTTATGCTCAGCGCATCAGTTCATTAAATGCTCCTTAAGCTCCGTGATCTCCGGCTTCTCCTCCATCTCCAGAACCTGTCTCCTCTCGCTTGTGGCCTCTGCTGGGACTTGCTGGCCAAAGGGTTGCAGGGACCCGGTTCCCCCTCTCTGGATCAGCCTCTGGGCTTTGCGGAGGAGTCTCAGTCCTGCTCCTCCGTTTCACATTTCCAGGGCTCAGCCCTGCCTCTTCCTGCAGCTACACCTTCGTTTAGAAGCATTTCTGCTCTGCTGGTCTCTCCAGGGGTGCCCTGGTTTTGTACCTGCTCACATAGAGCCTGGAATGTTCCCTCCCCAGAATAATTCCCCCCCATGGCTTGTCATAAGATTGTTTCTTTGCCCTCTTGCCGGCTGTCGAGAGCCTGTAATAATCGCTCTGCAGGCTGGCTCTTATCTCCAGCAGCTGCCTCTTGCGTGCTCTGGGGTTTGCTCCGATCCGAGCTCCCTGCTCCTGCCGTCGCTCGGAGCTCAGTGGCACCAAGGATGGAGAAAAACCGCAGCTCCGGGCGCGGGACCTGTCCCTCCCTGTGAGCTCTGGAACAAGGCAGGTCCTTTCGTGGCTCTGCCCGTGATGCGCAGCTCCCTCTGCCCTTTCGCCCTGCTGGCAGCTGTTCTTCCCGCTTCGAAGCATCCCTCCTCCAGCCGTCCCCGAGGGGTGACCCTCCGACTGCGTGGCCTCTCTTTGCCAGCCCTGGCTTTTTCATCAAATCATGGAACGTTTTGTGTCGGGAGGGACCTTAAAGACC